ACAGCCTCAGCCAAACTTGGCGTTCGACCGGGTGAAAAAAAGGTGTCAAAAAAAAGAAGCCCTAGATCTTGTTGTTTGTGTCCGCGCCAGGTCGCAGAGGAGCTCGATGAAGTGAAGTACAGCCAGCAGGTGGGTTCAGGGCTTTGGGATTCGATCTCGTAGACACAAGCTTGTACTTTTGGATATGACAGGGTGCAAACTATGTGCGAGTTCCCATCTATGTTTTTTGAGATGCCTGGATAAGGCTTCAGGCAGCCATGGAGGCCTAGTACCTTGAAGTTCAAACGCAAGAACTCTCGTCTTCCATTCAATATCGATCTCTCGTCTGCGGCTCGGAATAACCGAACAAGCGAAAGATCGAGACCCCCAAAAGGGCGACGAACGGACGGGATCATCATCAGGTCCTCTAGCCTTCGTCGGACGGATCTCTGCTCGGGCTCCTAGTGAAATTTGGTTTGCGTTCCAGAAAAATCACGCTGCGTCTGCAGGAACTGCAGGCTTCTCGCGCCTTGGAGCAGGCGCGGAGGCTGTTAGTCGCCTTTGGCTCCAAGTCAAAAGTCTTAAATCCTGGCACGAGCCTTACTGAAGCCCCGAGGAGTCCCCGAAGCCCACACTCAGCACCCGGTGGTGAGCTTTGCTGCGGAATCTCCTTGGTCATTATCGGGCTAAGGGTTCGATGGAGTGTTTCGTTCAGGGAGCCGAGTTTTGGGGCCTGCTGGTGAATACTGCATTGATCTGCTCGACTCCGGCCACTGAGATCAATCGCACCCTTCAAGACTAAATAACTTGCCAGACAAAGGGCACAAGGATGCAGTCCCTCGTTGGTTATGCTGGTTCTGGCTGCTAGCATTGCGACTGCTCGTACCATGGCACCACGGGATGACGGAAGAACCACTGTCTACTCTACTGACAGAATTCGAATTAATGATGACTTAGTGAGTTCTGTTGAAGAAATGCTACCGTGGTGCTGTTGTAAGTGCTGGCACGCTGAAATGTGGGGCCACCTAGCCATCGAATCCCCCCCACTCCCTTCGAAGATCTATGGTTCAAAGGTAGCATAATTATATGGCATACTGTAATAATCTGACACTCCCTTCGAAGATCTATGGTTCAAAGGTAGCATAACTATATGGCATCTTGCAATCTGATATAGTCTAGTATAGACTCCGCCCCTGCCCAAAAGCAGCCGCGGAGTCTCAGGAGCGGCTGCAGGACTTGGAGGAGGTTCAGCAGCAGCTCAAGGACTCCTTCCTTGCATCGTAGGAACTCGAATCGGGCCATGCGAATTTGATGGGCTGCCTCTTTGGGGGTCTCTGTTAAGGATTAACGAAGGCGCCCATTTCGGAAATGTGGATCTTGGGGTGATTCGGCGGGTGTGCCGATCTTACCTCTGGCAAACGTTTGTTCACGCCCAGGCGCATCTGCATGGCATCTCATGGCTCCACCACGATACTGCGCAGTGAGACTGGCATCTGCATACGTGTTTCTTCGTATGTCGCTCACTCGTCTACCAGAACCACACAGAAAGGCGGACACCTGTGGTTGTAAAAAACGGGCACAGTGTGGTCTCTCGCTGGATCTCAACATTCTTTAAGTACAGCTGGGCGCACATCCCAGAGCCTGAAAGATCGAACTTCATGGCTCTGCATCTGCATTGCAAACTTGGAAATGCAGCTCGCGCCTTCGTAAAGTATGCACTTGTCTCGCACGCGGATCTTAGCGGACGCAGGCTGACAGTCCAATTTGGCATTGGTGCCGGCCATCATCATCCTAGAGTCCCTAGCTTATCCCAGACCCAGTCCTATGCTCCGCCTGCACCAGGAAGAACGCCGCTCCTCCTCTCAGCTGCCTGGTCGCACCTCACCTTCTTCGCGTCGCTGGCCCTTTGTGGGGTCAGCTCTGGGCTAAAGCTGGTATACATAAGCGTACACATCCACTCAGGTAGCTACGCAGGCCAGCGAACTTTCGCTTGGTGTCGACTCAGCGCCACATTGGATCGGCCTTTCAGCAATCGAAGTAAAGGCAGCAACCCGAAGAGCCCAAACTCTGCAGTCTCAAGAATGCTGTTCGAGTCTGTCCCAGAAAGAGCGATTTGAAGCTCCTTGCAACCTGCACATCCCTGTAATGGTCTCATTTCCGAAAAGACAACTTCCACTGCTAGCTACCAAGACATTACATAGTCAGTCCTCGAATCTTCGAAGGAGTCAGTCTGGGAAGCTGAGGAACGAAGACCGCGTTGAAGAGCTTCTGCGCTCAGAGCTGCGCAGCAAAGAGGCCTTCGAGAAGCAGGAGGCGAGCCAGAAGGTTTGAGGAATTATCTGCCTTAGGGCGGTTCAGGGTTTAGGGTTGAGGGTTTAGGGTTTGGGTCGAAGAGTTCAGTGTTTATTGGGGTCCTTTAGGGGCGAGGGCCAGGGCAAAGAGACGAGTTCAGAAGGAGGAGACTTGCTGGTGTACAGACCGAAGACACGACTTAGATGTTGATTTCGCGGGTGGCCTTGAACAAGACCTCCTGACGAACAAGTCTGAGCCTCCTTGTCTACACTGCAGCGAATGCTCAGCATTTATCCGAGAGACTGACGGGAAGTGTTCCCCCGTGGAGCAGAGTACGGCTGCATGGACGCAGAGGTCTAGAGAGACAGAGCACTCTCCATTGAAATTGCTGAAGAGCCATTAGAGCCGCCCTTCAGCCCTAAACCCTAAATCCTAAACCCTAAGAGGCCGCTGTGGTCGAAGACAAGCAGCGGCTAAATGCTGCATACCGACAGCTGGAGCAGGTGGGCTGAATTTTGGAAGGGGAGCATAGTCTAGATTTGGGCAATTATAACATACTATACTATAATATACTTTAATACTATAGTATATACTATAACATACCAGAATATACCATAATATACTATAGCATACTATAAGAGACACAAAACACTACAATGGCTAGTAGTTCTGGATTTTGGAGTGTCCAAGGGCCGGCTTCCCAGCCTCAGCGTAGGGACAAGTGTGGTGGTTCTGTTCTTCCTGGTGGACCACTAACAAACACCCAATTACACACCCCGTGGCCTCCAGCATTCCTAAGAAGTAACTCTTTAGGTGAAAACTGAATGCAGCAACATGAAGCATTTCTAAGCCTGATAGCCCAAGACGATCACATGCCAGGCTCATGCCGAGGAGCGTTCTTCCCGCGAGAAGGCGGAGGAGTTCCACCAGCAGGCGCAACTTAGGGTTTCGGGTTTTTTGGGGTGAGTGGCTTTGTTGCAACGGCGACCTGATAGCCACCCCTACCCCGACGGAAAAGTATGTACCTCTGTGGCCTTCACTTGTGAGTGTGATCCTTTGACAGGTGGCTGTGCGACGCTCAGGTTGTCAGTCTCGCAGTTTCGCAACATGAAGCTGAGGTAGTTGTTCCAAGTGATGTTCAGCTTCCGGAAGACTACACCACAGAACTTCAACAGAGCCACCCCGCTGTCTCCGGTAGGGTGCAAGCGGGTCTTATTTCAGGGCTCGCCGGGTCGTGATTGAGGGATTGCAGGGAGGGCCTTTTGAAACTCACGTTTCGGGGCGGGGTGCTGCTACAGCAGGCGACTGTAACGTGCGTGGGCCTGTCCTTATCTACATCACAGAGACGGAGGGATTTATAGATTTGGAGAGAGAGAGAGAGAGAGAGAGAGAGAGAGAGAGACAGAACCTCGGCAGAAATTGAGACAGAGAGAGACAGAGAGGGGAGCCCATTAAGCGTGGGAGAAGAAGAAAGGCCAGAGAACGAGCGCCCGGGCAGTGAGTGGTGGGCCGTGGGATACTCCAGCGGAATGGACTGCTTCGCTGAATCGGAGAGACTTAACTTAGGTCTGGAACTCCCAGGCAGTGTATATATATATATATATATATATGTGTGTGTGTGTGTGTGGGTAAGTAGAGTCCCAGTATCCCTGGTGCAGTGCTTGCTGCCTTCACTAACATGCCTGCAGTGCTTTCAAAGTGCACTCCGACACTCTCGGCCTCCCAACATGCGGGGTGTTTAACTCAGTCGACCTTGTACCAGTAGCAGTGGTACAACCAGATAAACGCACCGAGAGTCTGAGAGAGAGAGAGAGAGAGAGAGAGAAAATATCTTTCGAGCTTCTGCCCGCCCGAAGCTAACCAAACCTCTCGAACGGCTGAGGCGGAGACGCAGCTCCTGGCCGTCGAGCTTCTGAAGTTGCAGGCAGCACTTCGGGAGCTGAAGTTATTGGGGGGGGGGGGGTTCTCAAGCCCTTCCGATTGTTCTGAAGCCCCTCTTCTTGCTACCTTGTGCAGTCAAAGATGGCAGCATGGGAGAGTCCAGAGATATACGGAAGCTTAAATAAATAGGTACATAATTACCAATATCATTCCTTAGAGCATCTGATTATGGTCATGCTATAAAGGAGCCCAAAATCCATTTCCAACGATTACGGCCCCTACATTCGGGAGTTGGTTCGAGGCTTAAGGCCGGATGTGTGTGGATCATGCAATATCCGCTTGCGTATGTACCTGTTGAAAAAAGGACGATGAGACAAGCCACTTAGTGCATCCTCACTGCCGGAAGCTGTGTTTATCCTGCAGCTTTCCGGGCCAGATTTTGCCCATGAGTGCGTCGGGCCAATTCTTCTGCACTGTGCTGGCAGGGAGCCTTTGAAGAAGATGGCCAGAGCGAGTCCAACTTCTCGAGCATGTCAAGAAATCTTGGAGGCGCGTTCTTTACCACGCGTTGGCGACACGGACAAAAGTTTGGGGCTGGTCCTTGCAAGCTTGCCCAGCTTTCTTGCGACATGTCAGAAGCGTTCCCGTGCAGTCGGTAGGTCAGCGTTAGTCAGGTACCTCCGAACACATAAACATCGACTGTGTTGCGCCGGCCCAACTCCACAAACCTCGATCAACTTACAGGGTCGCACTGTGCGGAGACAAAATCTCCGGTGTCCTGCGGCCTCCCTCAAAGCGCTAAACGTGTAAATGTCCCGTGAGGCGGAGCACTTTCGACCCATGCTAGACAAAAGATGGAATATTGCCTGTGGCTGCTGTGGTCGTCAGTAGTAATCACAGCAGAAATCATGAGCAACACAGGATGCCCCATCTGTTCTGCATGGACCCAAGCTTAAGGGCAAGCAGCAACACCGCCTGGTATCGGCGATGACACCTTTACAGTACAAAGATTCAACGCGGTCTCACAGCCGGGTTCCACGAAACCCCAAGCTCCTCCTGTGCTCACCCAACCCTAACCCCCCAGGTACCTACTATATAGGGTACCAGAGCCCCTAGGGCCCTATATAGTAGGTACCCGAAAAGTTAGGGCAACCTTGTGGCAGGCAGCCGCCTTCTCGTGGAGGTGGCCAGCGGCAGCGAGGAGAGCGAGGTTGGCTCTTCGATGCTTTGTTTGCCGGGCTGCTTCGGAGTGACATGCGAATGAAGTACAGGAAAACCACCTCGCTGTATGACTCTATGCCCGAGACAGGAGTTCAACAGAGCCGTCAGTAGATAAGACTTAGGACAACAGTTTCAGCAATTACCTGGTGCATCTTTGTACTCTTGTTCCTGTGTGCTCAAGAAGACAGAAGTCACAGCAGTTTGCGTAGGACGATGTACAGTCATAAGCACCGTGTATTCGCAGCTTGAATCCACGCACAAGGCTTCAAAAAGTCACGGCACTGTGACTTGAAAAGTTTCGCCTCGAGGACGAGTCCCCGAGCTCGCAGGACGGGTGTGTTGTTGTTGTTCTCTTCTCTTGAAGCGCATGGTTCGAGGTTGGCGGTCCAACGGTGCTCTAGCTTACACTTACAAGTACTTGGCACTTTCTTTCGGGCTCTTTCCGGATGCAAGCTTGAAGTGCGTTGGCAAGCGCAACGCTGTGGGTGCGCAAAGATTGTGTCAGCCCGATCCCTGCAGCCGTCAAATGCTCCGCTGCAGATCTCGCAAGTGATGCATGACTCTCCAGGCTTTCTTAGTGGTGCTCATGGATTGGTGCTGGAGAAAGAGATAACGTACCGAACAGTTAGCCCCGCGTTGTACAAGAATTTATGAAGTGTACAATATTCGCTTCCAGGCCTTTCGTGGTCACAGAATACTCGGGATGCTGGTGCATGCAAGGCAGTTTTCAGACCTAAAGCTACGAATTCCTGGCTCACATATAGCGGTATAGAACATGAGCGAAGCATGTGCCGTGCTTGAGATTTGATCTGCAAGAAGCCCACAGCCGCTTGGTCGCAAGTTGCCGGGTGCTCATGTCGCATGCGACCACGGTGCCAGGGGAACTGCCGGGAGTGTTGAGGACACCCATGCGGAAGCAGCCAGTAGCAGACTCCGGAGAGTACTCTCCAGAGTCTGCTGCTGGCTGCCTCCGCATGGGTGTCCTTAACTCTCCTGCCAGTTCCCCTGGCACTGTGGTAGTGGCGGTCTTGAAATTCCGCTTCCTTCCCCCGCATGAAGGAAGATTGTTCCGAATTTAGTTGCAGACATCTAGTTCTCAGAACGTGATACCGGGACAGATGAGAAGCTGGCTAGTCCGAAGCACATGTTTTCATTTCTCCGGACAAGTGGGCTGCAACAAGTAGGCCAAAGCCGTGCCTGCAGTCTTCCCTCGCATTCCACCGCCGTGTTCTCTACCGCTATATGCTGGGGCCTGCTGGGGTGGGTCTTCGTTAAACAAGGGGTGAGTGGTCTCTTGTTGCACCATGCCATATAAAGTATCCTGCATGCAGCAGGGGAGCTACTATCAACTACCCGTTTGGAGTCGGATCAACAAGCTAGGCTTGAAGTAGAGGTCGCTCCACAACGTGTTGTACTCCAAGCGAAGAATGATGTCCCCCTTGCATCACGGACTATGCCCTAGCCGCCCCTCAGGGCCCCAAGCCTTTAAACCCTCCTCCACCGCAGGTCTTTTCTTGCCAATGACCTCGGAGCCCGAGAACAGCTTGCAGGACTCAGGATCTAGCACCCTGAAGGCGGAATCCCGAACCACGGAGCCCACTCACCGAAACGTGACAGTACGACTAAAGTTATATTATGTTGCAACCCACCAAGTCTAATACGAAGGGACTACAACGGGATACATACTATAGACTATAGACTATAGTTACTATAACGTGAATTCTCTGATTCCTATAAGTGCCATGCAGCGTTTCGGCGGGCATCGAAAACGGCGTGTAAGACGTGGTAGGCGAGCCTCGAAGATGTCAGTCGCACGAAACCCTCAAACCCTAGATCACTAGATCCGATCCGAATCATTGAAACTCAATCGACCCAAAGGGACCTAAAGGCCCGGCAGCCCTGCTCCGCTGCTCCTCACAGTAATGGTGCACAGGATGTGCGACGAGCCCTTCACAAAGTTTTGGAGGACTCGATGGAGGGAAGGAGGGAGGGAGCCAGGAAGTGAGGAAGATGCCTCACTCCTTCATGCCAAAGCGGGCCACTTAATTATTTGCTTGCCGCTCCCGGATACCACATCGTCTAGCCAAACGTGGTGGGCTCAGATCGCACCTGCGGACGCAAGACTCGTTGTTTCAATCCACCCTCAGCTCACATTCCCAACCCTGTTTTTACCACCGGACGCCAGGAAGAGTCGCATCTGCTGATGACCCAGCTCCGGGGCGAAATCGCCGCAGAGCTCCGCGCCCTGCACAGCATCTCGGTCGAGTTAGGTGCTGGACTTTCGATTCTGGTTTTGGGGTTCAGGGTCGAGGCTCAGGGTATGAAGAGTCGGGGGCGCAAGGATGAATCAAATAGAGTCTGGGCAAAACGGTCTGTTAAGGAATGTTAAAGAGTTCATGTTTAGAGCAGACCTTAAAAACAGTGCAGGTTCGAAGGGCTTGGTGTGAAACTTATAAACAGGTGAAGACCCGTGTGCGCGTGACGCCAAACCCTGTAAACCCTAAGCCCTATAAACTATAAGCCCTAATCCCACAAACCCTGTAAACCCCAAACCCTATAAACTATAAGCCCTAATCCCTATAAACCCTGGTAGCCCTAAGCCCTATAAACCTTGTAAGCCCTAATCCCTATAAACCCTGTAAGCCCTAAACCTTCTTAAAGCCCCTAAACCCTCCCTAAACCCTATAAACTATAAGCCCTATAACCCCCACAAACCTACTAAGTAAGCCGTATAAACCCTCTTCTTAAAGCAAAAAAGCGAAAATGTGGCTTCCACGAACGGGATCAGGTCGAGAGCTGGCAAACTTTGGGCTTCAGCGCCGCAGTCAGCAACCAGAGAGGGGGGGTTTCGGGGTTTAGGGGCTTATAGGGTTTTGGGGGCTTAGGGTTAATAGGATTTTGGGGTTTAGGGCTTATGGGGTTTTGGGGTTTAGGGTTTATAGGTTTTGGGTTGTTTTTAGGGTTTATAGGGCTTTGGGGTATTGGGGTTTTGGGCTCATAGGGTTTATGGGTTTAGGGTTTATAGGGTTTTGGGGTTTAGGATTTGTAGGGTTTTGGGGTCTTGGGTTAAGGGTTTATAGGGTTTAGCGCTTATAGGGTGTAGGGCTTATAGGGTTTATAGGGCTTAGGGTTTATAGGGTTTAGGGCTTATAGGGTTTAGGGAATAGAGTTTTTATATATATATATATGTTTTTTAGGGTTTCGGGGGCCTCGTTGGTGGCTTCATAGGCTCGAGGCTTGTGATTGACAAATTGACCGGCGCAAGGGCCTCGATGTGATGTCTTGCGCAGCTCGTGCGACTCACCTGCATGGAACTCAATCTTCAAACATAGCCTGATGCGTGTATGAATACAAAACAACATACCAGACCTTCCAAAATACTCTTAAGCGATCGTCCCGTTGGCCTTCTGGGAAGCGTAGGTTCAAGAGCCGCTTTGTGGGAGCTAAAAACCCCAACGCCTCTCCGAGGTTGAAGCACATGATTTCAGAACTGCCGACGTCCACGTGCCTCAGCTGATTCGGGATGGAGCAGGCCACCAGGCATGGCTGTGGCAGAACTCCTGCACTATCATTGGTTGGCTTGTTAACATGCCAGGTTTGTTTCCTGTGTGATGCTAGGAAAACACAACTTCCCTAAGACCTCACAGCGGTAGCGGTAAGACTATGGGTCGGCGGGTAAGTCGACCGGAGCTTCGTCTCCCTCGCTCAGTCTTTCGGTCGGAATGAAGACGGCTGGTGCTGCCCAGGCCCTTGAAGCCACGGCGCAGCAAAGATAGCTCAGGACTGTGTTGTCACAAGGGCTTTGTACAGATTTATGGTCTTGATACGAGGCTTGCTATGGTTTTCCTTGGGCTTATAGGGGAGCATCACCAAAAGCAAGATGGGCATCCTAAATTTGGGAACCTTGTTCAAGGCATGCTGGTCTTTGGGTAGTACCCGCGCGCTGTCGCTGCTGTTTAGCAGCTAGTTTCGTTCAGGGCAGGGGGCGTTTATTGTTCCAGGACCTGGCCAATGCTTTCAAAGTGCACAAGCTGTGAGCCTACTTGATAGCCGCTTTCTCGCAAACGATGGTCAGCCGCAAACGTGGGAAATGTCCTCGTTTCCTCCATGTCTTCCTAGGAGTCAGAGTTGGTCCGACACTTGGGCCGAGGGATAGGACCTCCACGGACCGACCCTTTAAGGTTTAGGGTTTGGGGTTCAGGGTTTAGGGTTTACGGCACAGCGCCCAACCTCTCCGACAGAAAACGCCTTGAAGAGGACACCCTTCTAAGACCTCAGCACCAGAGAAAAGGAGCAAATGCCTCTGAGACAAGTGCGCGAGCATTGGACTTGCCGGCCCGCGTCCTCAGATCTTGGGTGAGTACTCAGGGCTCACCGCGAGTTGGGTTTCGGGCTTGTATGTTTTCCGGGAATCCGAAGCGCCGCGGCACCCTTTGCCATTTGTTTTTGTTGTTGAGGGGTGACGGGTTGTCCTAGAAGGCTTTATGGGGTCCACGAAGTTGTGTGCAGCACTTTTGTTGCGGTCTACTCCGTTTGTAAGTATCCATTCTATACGTTCTAGAATTTTAGAAAACCCTTCTATGTTCCATTCTTCAGAGCACAGAAATTTCCCCAAACTAAAGCCGCGGTATCCAAGAATTGGGAAGGCTGCTGTAGATAGTAACTATAGCTATGCACCAGATTATAAGATCGACTTCAGTTTCTCTTGACACGAGCTTCCTGGATCCCAAACCCTATAATGCTGGCCTTGATAATAAGAACAGGTCTTTGGGGGTCTATTATACTATGTACTTATAAGAAGGAGCCACCAAACTGTACTGAAGTATTGGTGGTTTTTGGGGCCCCGGGACCAGTTTCACCTGTGAATACGCTTAGCAAAGGACACGTGCTTCGGACGTTAGGCCCATCCCAGAAGAAGAAGGGTTTTCGGGCTTCTACTCTACTATAATTCTAGTACGGAGCCCCCAACATTGCACTGAGTAATTATTCAGGGTTTTTGGTGTATAACTTATAGCAAGGACTGGTAATTACCCTAAGGCTCATGGGCCCTCA